CTTCTGTGGAGGACTTGTTTCCCGTGGGAAGGGTGCCATGTGGAAGCAGAGGCAGAGTGGGAGGAAGGAGCCTACCCCTGAAGATGAAGAAGCAGCAGAGGCTGCATGGGATGAACTGACTTCACCTCCTATTCCCATCCCCCTGTGCAAGGGATGAGGAGGTAAAGAAACCAGGAACAAAGCTGAACCCAGAAGGAAAGGATAGGTTAGGGAAGGTGGTGACTTTAAGGTCTGGTTGTGTTTCTCACTGTTCTACTCTGATGTTACTGGTAACAAAAATATATTGTTTTGATTATTTCTGCCTATGATGAGTCTGTCTTCTGCCTGTGACCATAAGTGGTGAGCAAAAACCCTCTCAGTCCTCTTCTTTTGTCCAGCCCTCTTTTGTGGTCATTGTGGTGCTCAGTTGCCCACTGGCTTAAACCACAACATACGTTCATCCCTTACTTTGTATTCTTGTTATTTTATTTTTTAAAGCCATTTTGTGAAGACCAAGATGTTACTGAAATATGCATTTTTAAAAAATGTATAGGTTTTTTAAATTTCAACTTGTGTAAAGTGTTTTAAAGGTAGTTGAGGTACTTGTATTTAAGGAAAAAATTAAATTGTTCTGATATGAAACTATATGAGTATAGTCAGTTATGAAACACTGATCTGCAGTTGTTATCTTTATCCATATAAAGTTTATTACAAACAGGGGCTTTTATGCTCACAAACTTCTAAAGAAAACTTTTCTATTCCTGTAATGACTTTGACTTTTCATTATTGCTTTCTTCAAGTACTCTCATCCGTGGTGTGTCCATGAGACTGATACTTGGTCAACTTTTGGCAGAGATACTAATTTCTTCAGTACTGTTCTTTGACTTGTTTTCTTCTCCCAAGAGTAGAACCTCACTTATATCACTAGTGCAGGCAAACCCTTTGCTTGAATGTTTAAAGGTCTGGAATGAGAAATTTGTAATTCTATTTCTAGTAGAAACTGTTGCTAAACATCTGTACCTAGTCGGTATTGCTGTTGAACTGGAACTGACTGAGTTATGAAATTACATGCGTTTATATGTGGAGAAAGAATAATTAACATTTTTCTATGTATGACGACTATTCTTTAATTTCATAATTGAAAAGCAGTTGCTGCTTTGCTACAGTTCAGCACAACAAAAAAAACCCCCAACGTTCTTGAGAAGTATTCTACATGCCTCTCCAACCTCTTCCCTTTGTCTGATTCTTGCCTTTGTCATCCATAATCTTGACTTCCTTGACTACAATCTTGAAAAAAAAATTTAAAAAATCATTGGTGCTTTATATTCTCTTAAGCATTGCTAGTTTAAGTTTAAGTATCTGTCAAATTGCAGATGCAGGGCGGTTTAACTGAACGATGGTTCTGATGCCCAGCAGGTGATGGCAGAGCATGTGTCTTCAGTGTATCATCTATTATTAACATTGTATGCAGTGGATCAATCTCAGAATGTCCCAATAAAATGTGGGGTTTTTTTATTCATATTGGTTGGTCCTGCTAAAAAATAGAGATAGACTAGCTTGAGATGAAATACTTTTCTAGTAAAAGTTTGATTTCTTAGCACAACTTCTGTGGAAGATCTTATCTCTTTACTATAGTAGACCAGTGTGATTGCAGAGATGGTCCCTTCAGTCTTTTGTTCTGGCTGTAATAACCGAGTTTAAAGCTGTGTAGCAGTGTTTGACTGGCTTGGATACGTGGTAACTAGCTCCACTTTAAAGCACACCATTAACAGAACTCTGGGTCTCGCTTTCAGTCTGTGGTTATATAATTGGCGAAAAATACTATGGACTTTAGCTCCCAAACCAAGAAATAGATTGGATGAAATAAGACTTTGCTTAATGCTACTTCGGGGTTCTGAGAAAATGCTATTTCATCACTGCTGGTCTTCAGTCCTGGCTCAGGCATCTATTTATTTACATCCTAATTTGTAAAAATGTCATTGCTGTGTCCTGATTCTCATGTTTTCCTAAGTGTAAGTTAGAAATGTTACAAAACTTGCAGTTCATTAACTCATTAGTTTGTGTGGCAAGGAAGAGGAGATCCAGCTATGTTAATGCTGCTTTCTTTTTTCTTTATTATGAATTAGTGAAATTATGGAACTGTGAAGTATTTCAGGTTGCTTAGGAGGCTTTAATCTTTCAATTACAGTCAGTGCTAGTCCTTTTATTAATAATGGAAGTGAGGTTTCACTGATCCTGGTAAAAGGATAAAGGTACATTATAGACACTGTACTACTCTCAATTTACTCCTTAGTTGTTTTAAAATTAACTTCATTTTTTAAAGAACTAAATAATGCTTGCACCTGGTATTATAGTTCTTGTATTCTCCAGTAGGAGATAGTTCTAACAGGAACTGTCTCAGAATTTGATGGTTTCCCAGCATGAGTTCTAAATGTGATTGCAAACTTCTGATTTCAAAAACAGATCATTTGTGAGGGATTTGTCTTAAAAAAATAATGACCAGTTACTTGAAAGATGATGTTCCTGAGACCAAGTAAAAAAGCAGGAGAGTTGCGGTTAGACCAGGACATTTTAAACATGACTAATAAAAGTAGAGAGACTGATGTAATGACTGGAAAAGTCCTAACGTACGTTATTCTAATACAGGTATAAATTATGTCTGTTCATGCTTTCATTTTGCTTTGGAAAATGTGTTTACATATGTAGTGTGACAAACCACACAATGTTTCTGTGCTTTTTCAAATGCTTTGCTGTGGGGATTTTTTTTAGGATATTCTTTGTATGCAAGTTGCAAGTCAGGAGTAGAGCTTGCCATAAAAATGGAAAAAAAAACCCACAGCTTGTCAAGGTTCTGGTTTTGCATTAAACTGGTGGATCTGGTAACTTTGTGGTAGCAGGGCAGGGAGTACGTGTTGATAATATGCACAGTTTCGAACCCTGACTGACTCAAGTTACAGTTTTAAGATTTTGAGTAAGATGGAAGGCAAGGAGTTTCTGTGGACAGAAGCAGGAGTTTACAAATACCTTGGTGTATTGGTGAGAAGTGTTTTGTGCTGGCAGAACTCATAAGTAACTATTTGGGCTAATTGCTAGTGTAACTCTGCCATTCTCTTCTAATTCTGTCATCTGTTAGTCTCATGGTTATGTTCTGCACATAGCTTGCCATATGGTGATACCGCTTCTTTTGTGTGATCCAGAGGGGTTTCTGTGTACCTGTGTTGACAGTAATGTGTTCTTGATGCTGCAGTGCAATGTTATGCTGTTAAGGGCACACCTTCAATCATGTTCTAGACTTCTGCTTGAACTGGTAGCAAAAGGAATGTGACTTTATTGCTGTCGAGAGCCTAATAATTGAAATGCTAAATTGCATACTGGAAACTGAGGAAACTAAACCTCTGCAAATGCTGTTTAACCTTATTTTTATAGCCCTAGAAGCAGAATCAGATCTGTTGCTTCCTGGCACGGTGACGGGAAAATTGTTCTGGGCCTACTGATCCTTTTTTTGCCCTCTGCCTCTGTAGTTGCGAGCAGTTACTAAGACTGATAAACAGCAAAGTGTCAGAATTTACTCTTCAGGCAAAATGAGTCTTGACAGAAAGTTGTCGTGTGCTTCTGAACTTCTGGCATGCTCTCTCCCTTACACACAACTGCAGTATTTCAGAATGAATCTCTGGATTTGTCTGTCTGGTTTTTAGAAGAGATTATCAAGACATCGTAGTGGAAGTTTATTACTGCCCTGGTAGAAGATCAGTTCTCTGAATCGGCTGCAGCTCTGTATGTTGACTGACCTTACGTATCAGAAAGACTTAAGTTTTTTATGCCGCACTTGTAAAAAAGCCTAAAACATGAATGTGATTTGAAGTGGCTCAAGTGTTACGTATGTGCCTTGTAGAACTTCAGAAGCCATTTCTTTTAGTATTTTATTAGTTTCTTTTAGTATTGGAGCAAATGCACAAAATGGAGCTAAGAAATGTTTCCTAACATTGTTTCCTAACAATGTTAGGAAAGAAATTGGTACAGGGAGTTTGAAAATTTCAGGTTCTGTAAGATGTTTGCTGTGATTTGCTATATGCTGGCCACTTTCTAGGACTTTCTTGGAACCTCAGTTCCTCCTTCATACCTAAACATGGCAAGAACTTTTGTGAACTAACTTCAGTCTTGTAATTCAAGCTGCTGATAGGGAATTCTCAGGTTGTTACAGGGAAAATTTTTTTCAAGCTTTTCAGCAGTAACAGTACAAGATATTTTAGTGATGCTTGTGGATTCACAGGTTTAGTCTTTTCTTTGCAAAATCAGAGCTATAAAGTTAGGGTACTAGGTATATGCTTTAGTTGATTCTCTAAATTTGAAGAGAATAGATGAACCTGCTATAGAACCTGAATCTGCTTTAACTTCTGGCACCAAGAAAACCCAAATGTATGCAGGTCATGGCTACAAGTATGTCAAAGTTCTTACATCTGTCTGAGTGATGTTCTGAGTAGGGGAGTGATAACTGCTCAACAGTGGGAAACACAGGTTAACACTTGCTTAACTTGTCGTGTATCCCAGAAGATAGCATACATTTGGTATGCTTAAGAAGTACTAGTTTTTCTAATTATGTTTACTAATATAATTGTCTATCTAACTTACTGTAAACATAATGCTAGCTCCTTCAAAGAAAATTCTCTCTCCCTTAATTTCTTCTTACCTGGTATTTGTAAAAGCTGTCTGACTAAGAACTAGCTAAGTATCCTCAGTCCTGAAAAATGTTGTGTCAGCATGTGTTCAGCGAGTGACAAAGTGAACTGTATTATGGCTGGTGCAGGGAGGATAAAAGGTAAAGTTTTTTCAAAATAAAAATAAAAGACTTGTGTTTGTTCTCAGAATTTGACATCTTTATAATCTTATATGAGTGTTTAATAATTGTAATAAAGTAGGAGAAATTCTGGTAGGAAAGCAATGAAGAAATGTGTGTTGTGTTTAACTGGAAAAGGATTTACTAAAGCATTTCTGAGAATAGGGTGTTTTTTTTTTCTTTTCAGTTGATGCTGATGAGATAAAACGACTAGGAAAGAGATTTAAGAAGCTTGATTTAGACAACTCTGGTTCTCTGAGTGTGGAAGAGTTCATGTCTTTACCTGAATTGCAACAGAACCCATTAGTACAGCGAGTAATAGATATATTTGACACAGATGGAAATGGAGAAGTGGACTTCAAAGGTAAGATATGGTGCTTTATGGCAGGTGATAGAATTTTACTGGAATTATTGGGGCCTTGGAATTCAAATTTTACTTATGCTGAGAAAGGAAGAGTGAAAAAAACCTTGTTAATCAATATAATGGTCTAATTCCTAATGTAACTAAGTATCAGTAGAACTAGTTTCTCTGATGCATTAGGTCAATGCATTCCTGAAAGAAATGCTTGAAAGAGCAAATTGTTTAGCTTTTCAGGTCATTCTGATTTAGGGCTACTTATTAAGTATCTCTCGAAACACACAAATTCAGACTCTTAATTGTGGTGCTATCTGAAGTATATTCTTAGGCTGAAGAAAGTGAGGTAGATTGTGTAACTGGTGTGTCTGTGGATAACTTGTAATTATCCAAATGTTGTGAGATCTGTCTTTTGGAGTGTTTTGAAAATAGTTTTCTAAATTATGAAAGTGGTCCAAATGTTTCTGTTGATACTTTCTTTCCAGGATTCTTTTTGTGATCTTAGGCACACATTTCAAGTGAAAAACAAAAGTTTTTTAATTTGGTACATTCCTCCAAAAATTTGGACTTATTTTACATAGTCATGATTTAAAGAGCCAGCAGGTTAAAAAAAAATCTTCATTATTAGTTGGTGTTAAAACAGTCTCTGACCCTTAATGTCTAACTTCTGTTCAGGCTGATACTTACTATTTCTCATTGCTCTTGACTAGAAAAGGTTAATCCATTTTCCTTGATATTTTTTTAATTGGAAAAAGGTATTAAATCACATTTGTATTGACAGGCTAACATAAAATGTTTATGTACAAAGGCTGCTAACCTTTACAAAACCCCTTAAATTTCTATAGGAAGAAATACAGTGTAACTAGTGTGTTAAGTTTTTGAGACTTTCTTCGTGTCAGTTTCCAAAGCACTAAATGTATGTAACTCTCGAAAATTCCTGTGTGAAAAACAGGCAGTGATGAAAGATTATGGTATATTGTATGTAACAGTAAGCTGTAATTAATGTAATTACCAAGAGCTGTTCCTTTTGGGTGAGAACAGGAAGTTGTCAAAATCAATTGTTATAATCATTGTAATAAAATGCTGCTGCTGCAGTAAGTGGCAGTGAATTCTGTTGACATCTGGCCAAGTTGATTAATTTTATTCCTTTATTTCTGTCTCAGAGGGAAGCTCAAAGGAAAGATTTTAAGCCAAAAGAGGGTAGATTTAGATGGGATATAAGGAAGAAATTTTTTATGCTGTGAGTAGTGAGGCACTGGAACAGGTTGTCTAGAAAAGTTGTGGATGCCCCATCATTGGAAATGTTCAAGGCCTGCTTGATTTGGGCATTGAGCAACCTGGTCCAGTGGAAGGTGTCTCTGCCCATGGCAGGCAGTTGGACTAGATCTTTAATGGTCCCTTCCAGCGTAAACCATTTTGTGATTCTATGAAAATAAAAGTTAGTAGTGTGAGGAAACGTGCATTCTATTATTGAAAGACCTAAACACTTTTTTTTCCTAGATATTACTATTATGCTTAAAGATTTAAAAAAAAATCAAGTTATTAGTTGAGTGTTTTGTTGATGACTCATACAGGAGTTGTTTATTTAATGTCTCAAAACTTGCTGAAACTGTAGTAGGCCTTTCAACCTAATGCTATATTGCTATATCTCTGTATTCATTCTGTACCACAGTTTAGCTTGCAGTTTTGCACTGTTGTCATTTTTACCACTCCTGACTCTTAAGAAGCAAAGTTACAGTATCTCATCCAGACATATCACATCCAAGGGTTTTACTTTTTGGCAACTCCAGTGTTAAACAGTCTAAAGTTTGTTTTTTACCCTATTTCTTATAGAAATATGGGTTTTTTTAAGAATTTGTTTTAGAGCAGTTTTCAGTTTCAATGTAATTCTTGCTTTAAGTTGAGAAACCAGTCTTGAGAGGACCTGTACTATTAGACTCTCCACTGGAGCAGCTTTAGTAGAGATCTTAATGGAGTTTTAGATCAGATTCTTGTGAAAGTCTAGCAACAAAATTACTTCAATTCTGGTGTGTCTGTTCAGTGAGCTCAGTATTGGATTTCGAGTACTTCCCATTCCATTTGAAATATAGAACATTAAAGTATAAAAGCATGTGCTACACAGTAGGCAATATTTTAAAGATTTTAGGGTAATTTAGATTCTTTTTACAATTCTTAAAAACTTCTGAAGGTTGATTTTCTTTGGGTTATTACGAAAGACACTTTTTTTTGTAAATGTCTTTTTTTGTGTTCTTTTAGAATTTATAGAAGGAGTCTCCCAGTTCAGTGTCAAAGGAGATAAGGAACAGAAGTTGAGATGTAAGTATTTTGATTTTTCTTAAAAAATTTTTGATCCTCAAACTACTTATGTTAGTTACCACTGAGAAACCAACAAATGCAGATACTTTTAAGAAGTGGGATATCATGAACATAGATTGTAAACTTTTTGCACACACTGTCATTTGCATGAAGAATTTGCCAGAGCTTATCTCTGCAGGAAAGGCTTGAGGAGGTTGCCTTCTGAACATCTTAAGTTGCTTCCCAGTTTTAAAAAAAAAAAAAAAAAAAAAAAAAAATTTAAAAAGTAAGGATTCTTAGTTCACAGTACTGTGTAGCAATGTCCATTGTTTTATGGCAGCATAAGAATAATACTACTTTTTTTTTTTTTTTGCTACTGTAATAGAACAGCACTAAATTCTTTGAGAACTGCATTTCAGGAACGCAACATGACCCAAGCTTTTGGCGTGAGGAAGGGATAGATTCAGTCATGGATGTAGCTTTCAATACTGAAATGTTTAAAAATAAATTCAGTCTTGATGACAGATTTTGGCAGCAAAGTAACCAAAGTTTTGGTTCATCTGTTTTCTGCAAGATTGTAATTTTTCTGCTTGCAAATGAACTGCCACCTGAGTACTTGTTGAGGTGAAGATTTTCCAGTTCAGTGTTTACAGTTCTCTTACTGCTGGTGCTAAAACAAGTACAATTGACATTTCTGAAGTTAGTTTTTTCTTTTCAATTCAATAGTAGGACACCATTCATTGTATTGTTTCTGAAGTTTCATGTTTTTCAGGGTGAAACAAAAAGGCTGTTAGAAATCTCACTTAAAATGCAGTATATTGCTCAGTTTGTGTGGGGTTGTGTCATCACTTGCTGTTAATGCAAAGCACACAAATGTATATTGCTCTTTTCCGACTACATCCAGATTTGTTACTGGAAGTTTTACATATATATATTTTACTTCTCCAGTTGCATTTCGCATTTATGATATGGACAAAGATGGTTATATTTCAAATGGAGAGCTCTTCCAGGTGCTGAAGATGATGGTTGGGAACAATCTCAAAGACACTCAGTTACAGCAAATTGTAGATAAAACCATAATCAATGCAGATAAGGATGGTGATGGAAGAATATCCTTTGAAGAATTCTGTGCTGTAAGTAACCTCTAAAGAAAACTTTGAGAATTTGAAATTAAAAAAAAAGAGGGGGAGCAAAAGTGGTAAACAGCATAAATTGTAAGATTATAAAAGCAGTGTGTTTCTTCTGATTTGACAAACAGCCACTCTTTGATAGCTTTATTACGGATAGCATTTTTCTCCTATGACTTCTTAAAAAGCAAAGTGTCTCATGGCATAAGAGCAAGTAATGAATCGGTTCCTTCAGGATGCAGACTTTCCCATTGAATCTAGCATGCCTGAAGAAGATTGCTTCATTCCGAGCACAGCAACTTTTACAGAATAATTTGTAATTTTATGTCTTAGTTATTTTTATATGTAGACAAAAATGCTAGCCTGACATGAAGACATATCTTGCTGGTAGAAAATAGCAGCTTTAAAGATTAGTTGAGAGTGACTGGCTTGTTGTAGGAGGCTGGTTTTCCTTGTTTTCAATGGTTACGTTTGATTAAAAAAGAAACAGTACTTTCAGTTGTCTCCAGCTGTTTAATGGAATATACTGAGTGAAAAAAAAATCAAAGTGTGATGGGCAGGCATGTGCAGTCTTACAGGGAAATGCTTCAAACCATCTGAAAGCTGTAAAACTAGAGTGTGTCTTACAGATTTCTTAGTGTCACTACTGAGGTGGTGTGTGGGGGAGAGAGGTGAACTTTAGGTTAATCTCCCTATCTCTAAACTTGATGTCTGCTCCAAATCACCCTTTAGAAAGCTTTATCTTTGCAGTGTGTGGAGAGAGCCTGAGGAGATTATTGCCAGCTACAGAACATAGGGATTTTACAGAGGTCAGGGTAGTGGGATTTGTGTTTGGTTACAGGGAGAGTAACCCCTCAAATGCTGCTCTTCAAAAAAAGACAGTTGAAAGCTGTATTTTAAAAACTTAGGATTTTACTGAGCAGATTGCTTGAATGTAGTACTTGAGACTTGAAATGGTTTGTTTTCACATGTCATATATTTAATTAGTTGACGTCAGGTTTTCTATTCTTTCTCTCTTGGAAAAAAAAGTAAATGACACATTGAAACTTGAGCATTTGAAAATCACAATACTGAGTGTTTATGCATTAGATTTCAATCATGTGTTGATGAACATACAATGGGATAGCACAGTTTGAGTCAACAGGCACTCAAGCATTGCTTTTGTTTCCTGGTTTTTTTATTTACAACTCCAGTTAAGACAACTAGTTCATACTCATGACAAGTGTAAGTTCTAAAAAAAAAAAAAATTTAAAAACAAACAGGGGAAAAAAAACAAACAACCAAAACCACCAAGAAAACCAAACCAAACAACCAGCCTGCCCTCCCTCAAACTGTTAAAGCAAAAAGGTTCTATTGTCTGCATATTTTTGTGTAGAGTTTAGTTATTTTTGTGGCATCATGTGAAAACAC